ATAAAGTAAAGCAATTTAACCATGTAGCTAAATTGAGGACATACACTAAAAGTGAACTTTTTGTCTAAGAGATTTGCAGTTGTTAAAATTTACTCCTGCTTCTAAATAGTAAATTAAGAGAAAGCACCTGGGAAGCTAACTTAATTCAAATTTGAGATCCTGAATTCTGAGTTCCGATTACAAATGCATTCTCTATATACCAAATATTCCTTGCAAAGGTTAACTGGGGTGAGGTAGGAAGAGACAAATCATTCAGTTAATCAGAGTATTATTTACTGCCTACTGTATTCCAGACAAAGTGCAACTGCTGATGTTAGTGGGGGCCAGAGAGGTAAGCAAAAGTGGGAAACACAAATAAATATTCAAGCCATATGCTCCTATGGGAAAGTTACAGAGACTGATTTTATAGGATAAGGTTTCTCAACTTCAGCACTATTGACATTTTGAGCCAGATACTTCCGTGTTGGGGTCCGGGGGTTCCTGTGCACTGTGGATGCTAGCAGCATTTCTGATCTCTATCTACTAAATGTCAATAGCACCCGCCCACATCCAAGTCTCAGCAAAAATCTCTCCTGGAGAGATGTCAAATGTCTCTTGGGGACCCAAGATTACCCCTACTTGAGAACCACTGTTAGAGAGTGACCGCAAAATTAAGGCTTGACCAGTTTAGGAAACATTATTGTAAAGAGTTAATATTAACAACAACAACAATTACTTGTAATTATCACATCACTATGTACTATACAATGCACCAAGATTGGGTGTGTATAATTCCATTTACTTCTCACAACTCAAAGAGATGAGAATATTTATTCATGGTCACAGTGGTAATAATAGAATTGGGATTCAATTTCAAGTTCCTCATCATCTAGGATTTATTTTTGTTTTCTTTTTTAGAAAGCTGGAACTCCAAGAGATAAGGTATGCATTAGCCACAGAGATAGACCAGACCAATGGGTTTTAATGTGTTTTAATATTATGGCATGTGGATTCTGGTCTTACATAGAAACCGTGGCATGAAAGCCCATGTGTTCAATACCCAGGTGAGAGCTGGCATCCCAGCACACTGTGAGAGCATTTTATAACAAATTCCTGGTGCACCAGGGCTGGGCTTGGCACTGTACATGAAGTGGGCTCCTCCCTTCCAAAGGACTACAGTCCAATAAACAAATCCCAGAAAGTTGATCTTCCCTAGTAGGAAATTATGCTTTCTCAAATTGGACATTTTAAATTGGTAGACTACACTTATTTCTTAGGACCCTGAGGGACCCAAATGGCCAGAGGATATGGGTGGGTCTTGAAAATATATTAGAATTCCACAGAGTTTTGTTTAAGGCTCTATAGAGGAGCTCAAGTCTATAATCCCAGCACTTTGGGAGGCTAAGGCAGGAAGACTGCTTGAACCCAGGAGTTTGAGACTAGCGTAGGCAATATAGTGAGGCCCCATCTCTATTTAAGAAAAAATAAAGATATTACTGGATTTGGCAGCACATGCCTGCAATCTCAGCTATTAAGGAGGCTGAGCCGGGAAAGAGGCTACAGTGAGCCATGATCATGCCACTGCACTCCAGCCTAGGTGACAGAAAAGGAAAAAAAAAAGTTTTGTTTAAGAAAAAGTATTTCCCTGAGAAATAATTTGAAACAGATCACTTCCTATACCACCAATCCTCTTGCACATTAACTCCTGCATTGAGAGCATTCTGTTTGTTCAGTGCAGCAAGCTTCCTTCTGCTTCTGGGCCTTTGCGTAGACCATCACTCTTCACAGAAGTACTAACTACATCCCCAAATTTCTGCTCCCCACCACTTACTCTTAGAAAGAAAACCACATTATACCTACAAAGTCAAGCCATTATTCAATTTTCCCTCCCATAGGGAGGCTCTCCTGACTTTTCTAACTGTGCCAAATTCCCCTATAATTCGCTTATAGTCTTCATTCATTCATTCAACTTGGGAAATATGCTTTTTTTGCATTTTTGATTATACACTAAGTTCTGAGATGCATATGCAGAACACACAGGTTTGTTACATAGGTATACATGTGCCATGGTGGTTTGCTGCACCCACCAACCTGTCATCTATAGTAGGTATTTCTTCTGTTATCCCTCCTCTAGCCCACCTCCTCAACAGGTCCCAGTGTGTGATGTTCCCCTCCCTGTGTCCATGTGTCCTCACTGTTCAACTCCCACTTATGAGTGAGAACATGTGGTGTTTGGTTTTCTGTTCCTGTGTTAATTTGCTGAAAATGATGGTTTCCAGCTTCATCCATGTCCCTGGAAAGGACATGAACTCATTCTTTTTTATGGCTGCATAATATTCCATGTATAAGCTTTTGTGTTAGGCATTATTCTTGGCAGTGGAGAACATATAATATATGACAAACAAGGTCTCTGCTCTCAACAAATAACATTTTAGATGTACTAGACTGAGTCATAATTCAATCATTTTTTTAAAAATAGTAATTTATTGTGGTTCAACTGATGTTAAATAAAATGAATAAAGTAAAATAGGGTAATGTGATAGAGCATTACTAAATATCCCTATTTTAAATGGAGTCATAGTCAAAGCTCCCAGTTGTTTGGAACCTGAACTGTGAGAACTCAGCAATGGAAAGAATTGTGGAAGAGCATTCTAGGAGTAAAAATTAAAGGTTCAAAGGCCATCATATAGGGGTAACGGTATTATGACTGAGGCAGAGAAAAAACATATGAGGTTAATAGAGACAGAGAAGGGAATATGGGAGTTTGGAGCAACGGCTGAGCCAGATGACATGTGATGTGTTGGAAGTGGAAATGAGTTTGGTAGTGATAGAAAGTCAGTGGAGGGTTTTAAGTCATATGTTCGTAAAGTTTATGGACATTTTAAGAAGCTGTTAGGTGCTGAGATCATTGTATCAAGGGCAGGAGGCAGAAAAGGAAAACCAATTAGGTGGTAAATTCATTAGATAAGTAAAAAAATAATGACTTTAGTTAGGAAGACAACGGTATACATGAAAGGAAGCTCTGGAATTGGGAATATGTTTTAAAAATTGAATCAACTGAACTTCATGATGGATGACAATGGTACACTAAAATACTCAAAAATCCTTGGTTGTCTGAGTGCTGTTGGTGCCATTTTCCAAAATGGAGAGTCTAGGGAGGACACAGATGCAGGATCTGGGGCAGGGGAATCAACACTTCTATATTCTATCTGTTTAAGTTCAGTTACATGTTAGACAGGCAAGTGGTAATGTCATGTGGGTGGTTGAGTCCTGAGTTGGAGAACAGTCAAGACCAGAGATACAATTTGTGAGCCTACCCATAGATGACTTTATAGCCATGAGACAAAATCAGCTCACTTTGAAAAGGAACAATAAGTTGAAAGATTGAACCCCAGAGCACTCCAGTGTTAAAAGTTGAGCACAAAATCAGAAAATGACACAAAGAGAAAACAATCCTTGATATAGGGGGAAAAAAGAACAACAGAAAATACAATATCCTTGACGCTGAATGATAATATCCTCAAGAATGGGAAACACTTGTAGTCCGTACTGGTAACCCCTTAAATGGAGATTGGCTGTTTTGCAGATGAGAAAAATATCCTTTGACAATGGATCCAATATATAAGCCTCAGGGAGAGAGTGCACCATTGGGCCTTTAAAGGGGATGAAGGAATATGCCATTGATTTACTGGAGTTTGAAGGATAAAAAAATGTAAGAATGATAAATGAATAATCATTTTCCTGAGAGATTGGTCAGCCCTGAGTAATGGACCCTGCATGTAGGAAAAAGATCTCTGGGCAGAGAGTTTGTGTAAATCACAAAGAGATAAAGCTGACACATATATTCCCAGCAGCAAGCATTTCATGGTAGTTGGCCCTAACTTTTCATCTCTACTTACATTCTGTAGCCTTTACTACCCATTGCCCTCGTACCCCAGTTCTCACTGCTATCTGCACTAACCTGTGAATTCTGACCATATAACATTTATCTGGAAAGCTAAATACATATATATATAATCACTATATACTTTATTTTAATATAGATTAGATATAGATATAGATATAGATATAGATATGGGGAGAGTTACCTAAAGAGATACAACTCTCAGCTTTTTTTCTCACCTGATCGATATGTCAACAATACAGCAATAGTAATGATTACAGTCACCAATTTTTAAGCCTGTTCTGTGTTGGAAAATTTATGAATCATGAGGTTTTTCTGGCAAGTAGTAGGGAAATGCTTAACTATATTATCCAAATAATTGAATCCGTTTGCATGGCTAGTATAATTCCCTCTAAAAATGAATGTCCTTTCTCTGTAATAACTGTTTTTGGACTAATTAAATAACTTTCTCAGTGCTTCACTTTGTTTTATTTCAGTAGATTTAGCCCAACTCTTATGACTTCTAGATACTTAAAGAAAAATAAATCATAAAACTTTTCTCTTTTTTCCCTCAGTCTAAACATATAGACTGGCTGATACAATTTTTGTTTTTTATTGTCCTTTTCCTTTTCGCACTAACTCCTGTCATTTTCACTATCAAAATAAAGATTATATGTAGAGATTTGAGTTTTAAAAGCTAGGCTGCTTCCCACTTGCTTCCTAATATTTATATGAATAATCATTTTACCCAATCAGTGTAATTTAGTCTCAGAAAATAAAACCCATTCTCAGTAATAAATAGATGTAAAATAGACATGTAGACTGGTTTTAAAAGAAAGTCTTATATGTCATCTTTTTGAGACTACATTAAGCAACTTTGGGAACTAAGGGCCTTGAAAATTACTCACAACTGGTCTTCAAGTAACTCCATACTTGATAAGTAAAACCATACCAGAAAATAACTGTGTATTATCAGTTAACATTTCTACTTTGAAAATACTGGGACTTGGGTCTTTTCTCCCATCTCTGGGCTCCTCTTTCTTCTATGGAGTTTTTCATCTTGAGTACACTTTACCCAAACCATGCCATCTCTACTAAAATCTGCAATCCCAGTGGGAAAAAAACCCTCCTTTCATAAAATTCTAACAAATTCTTGACATTTTATTTTAAATATATATATATATTTTTTGTTACACTTTAGGTTCTGGGGTACATGTGCAGAACATGCAGGATTGTTGCATAGGTACATACACAGAAATGTGGTTTGCTGCTTCCATCTCCCGTCACCTATATCTGGCATTTCTCCCCATGTTATCCCTTCCCAACATCCGTACCCCTGCTGTCCCTCCCCTTATTCCCCCTCAACAAATCCCAGTGTGTGATGCTCCCCTCCCTGTGTCCATGTGTTCTCATTGTTCAACATCCGCCTATGAGTGAAAAGATGCGGTGTTTGATTTTCTGTTTTTGTGCCAGTTTGCTGAGAATTATGGTTTCCAGATTCATCCATGTCCCTACAAAGGACACAACTCATCATTTTTTATGGCTGCATAGTATTCCATGGTGTATATGTGCCACATTTTCCTTGTCCAGTCTATCATCAATGGGCATTTGGGTTGGTTCCTGGTCTTTGCTATTGTAAACAGTGCTGCAATAAACACAGGTGTGCATGTGTCTTTATAATAGAACAATTTATCATCCTTTGGATATATACCCAGTAATGAGATTGCTGGGTCAAATGGAACTTCTATTTCTAGGTGGTTGAGGAATAGCCACACTGTCTTCCACAATGGTTGAACTAATTTACACCCTACCAACAGTGTAAAAGTAATGGCAGACTGCCCCTATAATGGCGGACTTGGTAATGGTGGACTTCCTCGGTAGTGGTGGACTGCCTCGGTAATGGTGGACACCCTTACCCCCACAGAGCTGGACCATCCTGGGTCTAGCTGTGCTTGCTGTGAAACTCAATCCAGAGCGTTTCAGATTGCTGGCCTTTGTGGGGGTAGGACCCGCCGAGCTAGATCACCTGGCTCCCTGTTTCAGCCCTTTTTTCAGTTGAATGGGTGGCTCTGTCTCCCAGGTGTTCCAGGTGCCAGTTAAAACGGTTGCCCAGATATGTGTGAGTTTTTGTGTGGAGACCCACTGCACCAGCTGAAACAGCCCTGCTGGAAACGTGTGGTGCTTTTCAGCCCAGAAATCTCCTGGTCTGTGGGCAGTAATGACTCATTTGGAAATGCAGTGATCGATCACTCAGCCTCTGCATTATTCTCGCTGGGAACTGCACTCCAGAGCTGTTCCTATTCAGCCATCTCAGATCTGGAAGCAATTCTTGACATTTTCTTTGTTCCAATGGATGTGAGTCATTTCAACTGTGGTTGGAGGTTGTAACTTTCTGATGAGCTAAGCTACTACCACACAGCAACCACCTGAAATATCAAAATAGATAATGGGTGACAGTTTCCCAAAAGAAAATGAGAACATCATCATGAGAATCAGAGGGACTGGCTTTTGAATAGATTTAAATAATGATTTAGGTTTCTACCAGGGAACCAAGAAAAATAACTCTTGTTTATGTTTTTGTGGACAAATTTTCTTAAACACCCAGGACATAATACCTACTCATCAGTTACATTGTATTTCTTCATTCACATGATTTCAACTCTAAGTTCTCTGTGTAGGCCAAACACTCCCCTTCTGATTATAATTTCAATTACTGATTTGTCAAATAACATAGCTCTACCTGCCCCCAAAAGAACATAGATGCCTACTGTTTTTATTTATAAACAAATATTTCACCCTCTTCTGTCTGAGATCTGACTTTCTGCAAGTTTTTTTCCTTTTTCTTGTGCTATAATCTTAAGGAAAAATAGATTTTATCATTCACCATTCAAAAATGCCAATCCACACAATATCCTCAGGGGCACCAAGGCTTTCTGGATGAGAGAGCTCACACTCACCCATCTGGCTGCTGGGATTTGGTGAGTAGGGTTCACAGAGCTTCTACTTCTTCACATTGCTGAAGTTCTAATACTTTAGGGGAGTATTTGTCACATTTAGATGCCCGCATGTTTTCTTGATGAAAGGCAATGGTATCTCCCTGTTCAAAAGGGTGACAAGATAAAACAAGTTCAGGAAGAAGAATTTGTGAAATTGATAATCACTGAAAGATTTTGTTTGCACACAGGACTTTATATGTCTGGGGAGAGAATAGAGAACAGGCATTACAAAAGAGGTCTTTAGTTCGGAGTGAATGAAAGTGCCCGAGGTCTGAATTTCTTAGCAAAATCCTAAATGGTACTTAGGCCAAACTTTCTAGGATGGAAATTCCTCTTGGAGGCATGTTTCCTGTTTGATGAAATACCTTGACCCAGGATGTGTTACTAAGTAAACTAATCAATACAATTAAAGGCAATTTGTTTTAAAAAGACAAATTGATGTTTATCCGATGTTTAACATGGTCACTCTGTATTTTCATTTATCTCTAGAGGCTTAGTTGTAATAATGTGTGTGCTATTTTTGCATTTTCTCTTTTCACTTAACATGTTTTACAAGTTTCAACACAGTCTTTCCAATTAACATTTAAGAACCTTGCTGGTTGTTTTAAATCCTAGCTGTTATAGATAATATTTCAATGAATATTTTCATTCTTATCTATTTTTAGTTTTGAAATGATGCTTTAAGTCCCCAGAAATTGCATATCTGTGCCACACAGACCAAAACACCATGCAGTTGTATCTCTGAAATAATATATTGTCTTCCAAACGTGCTGGATAATTCACTCTCTCAGACACAGTGTAGAAGTACAATGGTTTCAACACAAGGTTGACACTACAAGGTGTTAAGGAAATAATGGACCTTGGCATGGGTCTAACCTCTTGAGGATATCTGACATACATGTATGAAAGTTTCTCAACTTGAAAAAAAAAGGAATGGCAACTCTCACTTCATCATAGAGTGGGGATTACAACCCTAAATGTCCTCTTGGTTTTGGCAGGGAGCATAAATTAATCAAGCAAGATGTTAGGGAGGCTGGAGATAAAGATGAAAACTATGGAAAAACGAGGATGCATGTTCCATCTGCCCCTCTAAAGAGCTGTCTTTACTCAGCTCCAGCTGAGATGTCACAGTTTCAAAATGTAGACCACTCATTCAAATTCAATGTATATGAAACATATCAAGACTTACTAGACAAGAAAGGAAGGAAGGGAGGGAAAGGAAAAGGATGTAAAAAAGGAGGAAGGAAAAGAGAAAGAAAAAGAGATAAAAAGTTGGTTTGAAATCCCTGTGTACAAACTTAAAAATGTACCATTTGCAATGAACTTTGCTTTATAGAAGTAAGGCAAATTTCAATAAAAAGATGCCTTGTAAAACTGATTGTTTGGATTGGTATGGATGGGAATAAAATACAAAATGAAAGTGCTAAGCAACCAGCATCATCCAAAAGAAATGTCATTTATGATAATGAACAGTATGCATGCACAAAAAGCAGAATTCGATGCTGGGCTTTAGCAGATGTAATTATATAGCATGATAAAGTAAAGCACAAAAGGAGTTGAACCACACTTTCCAAATTACAAAGCTGTAAAACATTCAGCAGTCAAGTAATAAAAAGAAAAAAAATTGTTCTACTTATTTAATTTGCGTAACTTATTTTTTTCCAACAACAAAATGCCTAGGATGAACAATGAATTCAGGAGTTACAGAATGACTGGTGCCCCTCTCCACTCATTTTCCAAGCGATTTCATTTGCTCAATAAGATCAGCTACCACAGGATGGTGAGAAATCTTAGTGTGTGTGTGTTTTCCCAGATTTGCCTTTATGATGTGAGGAACTATAAGTGACAGCAGTAAGGAGAAAAAAACCTCTACTTCAGGGTAAGATATTGATAGGGGTAAGAATTCAGCCCTCCGACTGCAAAGCTCTCCCGCCATTTCTCAGTATTGTATAGTTTATTATTGCACGTTTGAGTAGAAGTCAGGGATATATGTGATAAGCGTCACCACTTGAAGTTGTCCACAAGGCTATTTGCTATCAAAAATGTAAGTGGACTGTAAGAAAAAAAGACTTGGAGGAATAAGGGGCAGGAAGTGACAATGGCCATAAAAGGAGGCATTTGCCAACAAGACAAACACCCAGATGCATTTGTTGTTGGAAAATATTTCCAAGCTAAGACTGTAAGTAAAAGGACAGCTAATAAGTTATGTAAACAGCCTTTTGCTAGGATAATGAAAACCTAAGGACTGGCAGGTAAACAACCAAGGCACAAATTTAGGTCATCCTTTGCTATTATTTTTTTCTGCTATCTTTTGGCAGGGTCCTCAGTGTCTTCATTTTGGCTGTTAAGTACATTTATGCTCAGCCAGTTTACAGGGTTGTTATTAAGAATACATGGATTTTTAATGAGGTTCTGGGTCAAATATCCAGGTAACTCAAGCCAAGTTAATCTTGAATCTGAAATAGCCTTATAGATGTCTTGATTTTTAGGTGTGTATTTTCCAATGAGTTATTGGAAATAAATTCTTCTATCACTCATGTTTTCCAAGCCTACATGATTTGCCAAAGTTCTCAGTGAAGGACTTTTCAAGGCTTTCTTGTAGTAGTAAATAATCCTCTACAAGTTCTTTTAATCAAATTAGACTAGGACCCTCCTCTTCTCTCTTGTTCCTTGATCTAAAAGAGTCTGCTCCCATGCCACATAAAGCTATCTCATATTGTGTCTCCTCAGTTTCTATTCCTCTGTTTCATTTAATTCAACCAACATTGTGTTGGGGTAGGAGAATCTACTCCAGTCCTTGTCCTGTGAATTCAGAGATGAACCACATAATAGAGATGAATAATCTGCTCTCATTAATCATTATTACCTTCATAGATGGGGCACATACTGTGTATCAGGCACTGCACTAAAGGCTTGGTTGGTATGCATCATCTTAATTGATTATCACAACAATTGAAATATATTAGGACTATCTGCATTCCCAATTTTAAAATGGGAAAACTGAAGATAAGAGATGAAGAAGTTTTCAAGGTTTTATGCCTCTTGAGGGAGAGATCCAGGACAATATCTCAGGTCTAACTCTGAAGTCTAGACTCTTAGCTGCTACTAAATAATATAAATGATAATGAAGAAGATAATAATGATGATAGTTAATATTTATTGAGCAACATTTTATATTTCAGGTAAAGTGCAAGGCACTTGACATAGATTATAATGTTGCTGCATTATAACAATCATCATGCAAGGCTAACCATGCTGCTACCCATGATTATTAGATAATTAAAATTAAGATGTATAGAAATTATGCCTTATGAAAGATCATTCAGTTGGTCTCAATGAATAGGGTGGGCCTCTCTACTACAGTAAAACCAGTGCTTCTAAATTTCGCCCAGAAAATACTGTATTAGTCTGGTTTCTGTGAATCAAAGGAATAGGAAGAAATTATATAGCAAAAAACTATGGATAGTTAGTCCTATTTTTTGTATTAATTTGAAAAATCATCAAATAAAAGCAAACTAAATACAAAAATCATAACTTCTTCCACTAACACTATTATAGGACTCCTTGGGGAATGTCATTGTCATTTAATTGTTAAGTCAAAATGAATCTGGAGAACATCATTCTCAGCAAACTGACACAAGAACAGAAAATGAAATACCGCATATTCTCACTCATAGGAGGGTGATGAAAAATGAGAACACATGGACACAGGGAGGGGAGTACTAAACACTGGGGTCTATTGGGGGGAAAACGGGAGGGCCAGCGGGGGAATGGGGGGAGCTGGGGAGGGGATAGCCTGGGGAAAAATGACAAATGTGGGTGAAGGGGAGAAAGGAAGCAAAACACACTGCCATGTGTGTACCTATGCAATTGTCTTGCACGTTCTGCACATGTACCCCAAAACCTAAAATGCAATAAAAAATTAAAAAAAAAAAAAAGCTAGACCTATTTTGTCTAATGTCACCATTAGGGATTCATACCAAAATTGGTTGAGATGACTTAGTTTCAAAGGTCCCTGCTTCCAAGTAAATCAAGGTAATGTTCCATGTGTTTTAGGATCCTGGCATCTGGCAAAATGTCTTGCAAATATTGTACTTAGTAAACATTTGTGGCTTGCAGTTTTTGATGCTCAGGCATCAAGGGGTTAACAATTAGTTTTCTATTGACAAAGTATTCTTTCACAATGCCTGAGGTGTTTTTTGCTTTAGAAAAAGTGGTAGCAGTGCATGGTTATTTTTGATCCATGAAAATATTGGTTATAATATTCTTTTTCCATTACATTACTGTAAAACTTGAGAGCTATTAAATAATAGTAACATTTTTTAATAAGATGATTTAAAAGAAGGGGTATGTTATCATTATTGTTTACCTATGCAAACATTACGAGAGCCTGTTATGTACTAGGCACTTTGCTGAACATGCTGAGGAAGACAAAGACGTGTAAAGACATATGAATAATCCTGCCGATATATGTTGGTTGCAAGCTTCAGTACGCTGAAGATAAGCATCTTGTCTCATCTACAATTTGTTACCCACTTCATGCACCTCATTTGCAAAAACAATTAATGATCCTGCTAGCAAATGTGTAAACAATGGCTATGAAATATATAAATATACCCATTTAGCTACTTATTTCCTTTTGCCAATAAAATAAATCTTTTCTTCTCTATTAATAAACAGCTATACACAAAAATAGTTTATAGATAAATTGCATTTAGACATGAAAAAAAATGCCCTGACTGTGCAGTGGTAGAAATTATATAGGTTTCTAGAAACAGGAGACATTAGAAAAATTAATCACATTCCTTCAGGTCTAACTGCCTGTGGTCTTTCTGGTAACATTTATTAAATAATTAAAAGTACATTTATTTTCAAGACTTTTGTTACAAAAATGATAGCTTTACTATGCCTTTAGAAATTACATCTGCAATTATATTACTCAATAATTTGTTTTAATACATTTTCTTTAGGAAATGTTTCTGCTCGTTCAGATATTGACTATAAAAGCAAAATGAAGTGTGGAGTTTAAGTTATGATTTTAAAAGCCCTATTGCTAAAAAGGGAGAGGTAGTAGTTTTATATTTTCATTGCATTCTTTAAA